TTGAACCTTAGTAATGTTTGCTCCCTATTAACAGAATCACAGAATGGTTGAGGTTGCAAGGGACCTCTAGAGATCACCTAGTCCAACCTCCCTGCTCCAGCAGGGATATCCAGAGCACGGGCCACAGGGTGGCATCCAGGCAGGTTTAGAAGACCTCCTGAGATGGGGACTCCACACTCCCTTATCCAGGCTAAAAAGGCCCAGCTCACTCCTCTTTTCCTATCCGAGAGATGCTCCAGTCCCTTAATCATCTTGGTTGCCCATCACTGGACCCTCTCGAGAAGCTCCACGTGCCTCTTGTCCTGGGGAGCCCAGAACTGCCCCCAATACTCCAGCTGCGGCCTCCCCAGAGCTGAGCAGAGGGGCAGGATCCCCTCCCTCCACCTGCTGCCAACATCCTCCTGATACAGCCAGGAGCTCATGGGCCTTCTTGGCCACGAGGGAACATGCTTATTATCTTCCCAAAGGATTCACTTTTCATCACTCTAATGATTCTTCTGAAGTGGTATACCGCCTCTTAGTCCGATGCAGTAGAGCTGTTATATATATATGAACGCACAAACCATGAGAAAGCTTCAGTACAAGTTTCTGTCCTATTATACACCAGGGAACCCATTTTTCAGTCATGACTACGGCTTTCTGTAGGTTCATTAATACTTAACAGCTAATATACTATACATTGCACTTTTAATTTTAAGATTAATCAGCTGTCAGGTACATATTACCTGAAAATCCAAATCATTTGTACTGCTCCTCACAGAACTAAATTTTTACATTAAATTTTTACCTACGAATAAAAAATACGTTCTACTCATCACAGAGATAGCAGTATCAAAGGAATGTCTGAATGCAGTACACTGAACCATTTAAAATTAACGTAACTTCATATGTAGATAAGTAGAGCCTAGGAGATATTCACAACAGCTTTTCACACTAGACAACTCCAAGCTGAAACTTTGCTCAGAAGTCTCAGGAAGAAACTGCAGTATCTATGGGTCCATATGACCTTTGACTCTATAGCACTTAATTAAATATAGTCTAAATAAATCTAATCACCGCATCAATTTATTGAAAGCAATTTATTTTTAGTATGGACAAATATCGAGTCAATGTAAGGCAAAAAAGCCATGATTTTCTGCCCAAGCTAATATTTATCCACAAGCCTCATATGAAACCAAACGTCTGCCACTCCTTTAAGTTATTCTCATATCTGAGACCTCTAGAGGTCATCTAGTCCACCCCTCCCCTCACCACCCCCCCCACCCCCCCCGCACACACAGGCTCACCTAGAGCACAGGGCGGCATCCATGCAGGTTTTAAAGATCTCCAGAGACGGAGACTCCACAACCTCTCTGGGTAGCCGGTGCCAGGGCTCTGTCACTCTCACTGTCAAGAAATGTTTCCTGAAGTTCCTGTGGAACTTTTGGTATTCAGTTCGTGGCTGTTTCGTTTCGTTTCGTTTCATTCATTTCATTTCATTTCATGTCAAAAGAGTATTACATTAACAGAGTTCACATTCAATTTCATTGTACACAAATCATTGGGTAGCATTTCAAAATTATTAAGTTTTCCATTGAGTTCAGCGGTAGAGTAAGAAATAAGAAGTAAAATATATGCTGCTCATATTCAAGCAGCAAAAATATCATTCTTATAACAGAAAAAGTGTCCTTAATCAGACACTTTAATATAAAATTTTATTTTAATCTAGTCTTATACTCTCTCATTTGACTGCCAAGCTGTCAGAAGCAGATGCAGGTTTAGCTTAGCAGCTTTAGCACACCTACGACTGGATATTAAGAAACTCGAGTCCTGTACCTTGATCAACTCAGTCTCCTTACTTTTGTATTCCACTTCAGAACAGAGGAGAAGAAATATTTGTTGGACAAAATTATTACAGTAACCTTTCATCACTGATAAAATTTGACAGGTGAGAAATAAAGTTCATTAAGTAACTAGACTTTTCTAAATATTCCTCTGCTTCATAATGAGGTGCAATAATTATGGATACCAAAGATCATATTGAGGTTTACTTAGATAAATACATCAATTTTTGCACTCTGTGAAGGAACTGTGAACACCTATAGGAAAAGCCTGCACAAAATGCTGACTAGTAATCTCCACAGAATCACATACAAACTTGCAGTGCAAAAAGCCCCATTCAAGAAGCTATATTCCTTTGCTTCAGATAACCAGGACTCACACTGCTCAGTGGCAATTAAATAAATTTGAAAATTTTCTAATTTATGCACTCCACATGGATACAAGATAGAAACTTCCAAGCAACAGCAGCAGCTGACACATCATAAAAGAAACAGGTCATGAAAACAGCCATATAAACAGTCTTTGAAGATAACCATTATTAAAAATAGTGTACTCTACTGGAAGAAAAAACACACAAAAGAAGAGCATCCATCAAGTTTAAACGTACATATTAGTACACTATGACGTCTCCTGTCTTAAACACATTTAGAAAGCAATAGCAAGCTGCCCAGTATAACAAAATCTGAACACTAACAAGAGTGCATGAGCCCCCCAAAGACATGAAAGGCATGGAACCATACCATCCTAAGTCAAGCTTGACTGCAGGTACCATTCCTCAACTCGTTGTGTTCATGCTCTGTGCAGTGTTTTTATCACTGAATTACACTACAATGGTGTTTCCTGGCCTCCTTAAGAAGATATCTGTAGAACATCTTAGACAGTGCTGCTACGGTAGTATTCTTTTACAAGCATATAAAAACCATTTGCATTTTGGATGTTCGTTGTTGTTATTTTTATTTTCTCCTAGTCTGTTTTTTTTTTAAATTTATGTGGGGGAATACGTCCAATTATTACTAAGTAAAGCCAGGGTAAGTAAGTAAAACATTAAGTCTATAGGGTTTAAAACTACAGTATGAGAAAGTCAGGCTTCATGAACATGGCACAAAATAACTAAGGCAGGACATTCCAAAGTTTTCCTGAGGTCAATCAACTTTTGAAAAAAATACCAAGAGAAACATGACATCTCATCACCTTAAAAATATGTATTAGACTTCTGTACAGCAAACAGGGGATGAGAAAAAGCAGTAATGATTGTCCTGGAAGCATCAACATACGTTGGGTCATCAACATATTTGGATGTTCATCATATGACAGTTTGTTTTAGCAGCAATTAATAAGATTTCTTTGTGGTATGCATCTGAAGACAGAATATATTCTAATATATACTGCCTCCTGTGTAGTTTAGGATCTCTTTCAGCCTTCAATAACTACAACCCCTAATTACAAGGCAAGATAGTCTCAGAAAGAAGGCTTTTTGCCAGAAACCACTGACAGACAGAGAAAGAGAGCAAACATACAAAGTCTATATGGCAGTTTGTGGACAAAAGTGTTTTTCTCTTTACTGGCCTTTTTATATTGATTGTGTTTTCAATATGACAGTAGATTCTTTTTTTCTGCTCTTCTGGAAATGATAATTATGAATGTGAACTGGGAAACATGCATCAACTCTAAAGTAATTTCAAAGGATACTTGGAGCTAACTTGCTTTTGAAATGTTGTTTGATATAAATTCTGGAGAAGTTATGCTGAATATGTAATTAAAGCCAAGAATTCTGAAGATGCAATGTACACAGTGACAGAAAATGTGAACAGGCGTTTAATGAATAAAGAGTTAATCCTCTTGTACCTCATACATATGTGTATAAATATACCCATACAGAGACATACACATATAAAAGCAGGATAATCAGAAGAAATACTGACTACAACAAAATATGACTATGAAAGCAAAACAGGAAAAGAGACCAGATGGCAAAGAAGAAATAAAGAAGAAAAGAAAACCAACAAACATCAGGTGATGTTTGCAAAGCAAAAAAGTAGGAAGATAAGAAATTCATCAGTGATAGAAAATAAATGAGGGAAATTCAAGGGCCTGAGATGACAAGCCAAGAACACACACAGACAGAAGTACCGGATTACAGAACAACACGAACCCTGCTAAGGAACGTGAGAAAAAATATAAAAAGCCCCACACAAGAAAGGCAGGTCAGTTACAAGAGGAGTCAGAATACTGACAGGCATGTTCTCCATGATGTTTATCTGATGGTCAAGAATACTCCTAACTTAAATTCTGAGACAAAAACAAAAAGAACACAGGTAGGATTTTTAATGGGAGATTCCCCCATTAAATTAGTATTAAAAAACAGGCTCATGTCATCCAAGCAAACAAGAAAGACTGAGGGGATACAGAAATCTCAAAATACAGTCAAAGGCTGACACCTGCCTTCAACATCATGGGTGTGGAACAGTCTCTAGATCATGGACCAACTGGCATGTCCAGCTTGGACCCACCTGCCTCAGACCACAGACAAGGTCCTCAGCCTTTTCTGCAGCATCTTGTGCTTTCAGAGTTGGCCACAGAAGCTTGTATCTGGTCTCCTGCATTTACTATATGGTGAAAGGAAGTAGTTTTAGGTGCTTAATGCTAGGGAACAAAACTCAGTAGCACAGACAGTCCCTTCCTATCCCTGTCCCTTCCAGTCCCGTGTTCCTGTATATACCAGGGGAACAGTTTTTTTCTTGCCTTTTTTGCACAGATCTCCAGGTACATACACAAATTTTCTAAAACGTCCTCAAAATACCCACATTCCTACAGTATATTATATTTCAAAGACTAAAATTACTTTCCTCTTTGTTTTCAATATTTCTACCCAACTGCCTACCTTTCTGGGCTTTCCAGCCAATGAAGAGCTCACCAAGTCTTCAGTTATCAGTTGTCCTTTGCCACTCTGTCTTTTCAGGATTGTTGTCTTGAGCAACTAGAGCTTTCAGAAGACTATGTTCTGCATACACTCTAGCTCACATTAAGCAATTATTAGATTAAAGTACTCTAATGCATGAGGAATTCATATCCACATAATAGTGCAGCTGAAAACCTGATGTCAGTAAAAATGATAGCAAAACTCCCAGGAGTTCACCTACGTAGATCAGAGCAGTAGAACATTTAGAAGTTATACCTACCTAAACTGTTATCGCTGCTAGTTGGCCAGGAGGCCATCCTATCCCTTAAATTTTTCTTTTTGCAAGAGTCATCTGATTTCACAGAAAGCTCCACTTCCTCTTTCCTGATTTCTCGCACCAGTTGCATGCGGCATTGACTAAAATCCTGAAAGGAAATCTTTCCACTTTCATCTGCTCCCAGCTGGTGCATGATCTCAGCAACAGACTCCTCCATGTTCAGTTGGCGGCAAACCATCAGCAAGTCATTCCTGAGAATATTTTTAGAGGGAGAACGGCAGGAAGGGGAAGAATGAAAAGAGAGGAAAAGTAAGGGGGGGGGGGGGGAGTAGGAGGAAGACAGAAAAGAAAAAAAAAAGTGCAATTTAGTTCAGAAAAAAAGGAATACTAATTCTGTTTAACCTACAAATGCATCAATGCACAGACACTTGAACCTGAAAACTCAACTATGATTTTTGTCCAAACCATGAGGATAGCATCACAGTTCCACAGAGAAAGATCACAGAAAGGAAGGCAACATTTTTCTTAAAGCATTAACCTCTATTTTAATACTATGAATACCATCTGTGTGAGCAGGGAAATTACACAAGGGAGAGAGAAACTTGCTGTCTCTTTTCAGTGGTGAGCAGGGATAGGACTAGAGGAAATGGCTTCAAACTGAAGCATCGGAAGTTCCACAGGAACTTAAGGAAGCATTTCTTCACTGTGAGGGTGACAGAGCCCTGGAACAGGCTGCCCAGGGAGGTTGTGGAGTCTCCTTCTTTGGAGATCTTTAAAACCCGCTTGGATGCAGCCCTGTGCCACGTGCTCTAGGTGACCCTGCGTGAGCAGGGGGGTTGGACTCGATGACCTCTGAGGTCCCTTCCAACCTTCGGCATTCTATGATTCTATGATTCTATGATCTTCCTAGTGCCTTCTGAAAAATGTGTTATCATAAGAATTTAAATAAGTAACTTCTAACTAGATGAGAGCTTAAGTTTCTGTTTTCTGGAGATCAGGCATAAGTCACTAAACTTAAACAGGAGGGGGAAAAAAAAGACACACAGAAAATAGTTAAAATGGGAATAGTATTTTGAGTAACTGACTTCCAAGTCTGACCCCAAATGTTCTAATTAAGAAATACTTAAGAAGCCTGCTTGGTCCAACTGTTTAAAAAGAGTTACAAAGCAGGAACAGACAGTTCCCTGAAAAGTATTCTGACACTAAGTGTTAGAGGCCAAAACAAAATTTTTGCAATGTTGATTTAGCTGCAACTTAGTCAATATGAAAGATACTTGAAAGTACTATACTTTCACAAATTTGCTCAGAGTGCTATTAGGATGGCTACATACATAAATCTTTAAACATAGACACAGAGGCTGCGGAAGGCATTCAGGAACATCAGGACTAGTGCCATTTGCTACTTTGTTTGCAAAGAACTTAGTAAATTACTTTAGGTTGATTCTGAGGAAGAAAATTATTTTGAAGAGAAAATAACCTGAGCTGTTTTTTTTCCCTTCACTCTCTGCATCTTCTTCCTTTTCAAAATGGAGGTAAGTTGAAGGTTTTGAGAGAATTCTCAACCATAGAAGTTGGTAAAAAAACAACAAAAAACAAACAAAACACTAGATAAATAAAAAATAGTGAGTAAACATTAAGAAGTCCAGTCAAGGAACAATTGTAAAGAATGTATTCCAAGTGGACTATTAGGCAAACATTTGATATTCTCCAATAATGGTGCATCCCAGATGAGTGAAATACTTAAATAATCCTCTGTATCACAGATTAAATCAACCCTTCCAAAAAGGAAGTTTGTCCCTTAATGGCAAACAGTCATTTTGCCTTTTTCATAATGCAAACCACTATAAAAAAAACTGTTCTCATGCAAGCAAACACAACACTGTAACTGTAAGTCAGTCTGCACTGAGCATACCCAGAAAATCCATCTCTTCCTTTCCAGATGCTCACAGTTTTCCGAAACAGCAAGAGACAAATATGACAAACACCTGTCTCATTGCACTGCTGCTTAAAGTAAGTCATCTGCTCACAAAAGAGAGAGCCTAAGAGCCAAAGAATCACTTCCTTTTATTTTTTTTCCTTTCTATTCCCTTCCTATCCAGGGAATATCCCACCTTCAGGTAGCAAGAGGTACAAGGGGCAGCACAGCAAAGAAATCGTTGAAATCTCTTCTCCAGCAAGTGAAAAGCAGACAAATTATTTGTTAAATTATTTATATCTGTTATTTTATTAAATTACAAATTATTTGTTAAATGGCAACTAGTCAAGACTCCAGAAAGAAATATAGCTGAATCAATTTAAAATGTTAAGCAATAGCTGCTCTACACTACTAAGATTTCCTTTGGGTGGCATTCTGTCCAATTACAAAGTTTAAAAAAAGTCACTATTTCTATATTCTCACACTTCTCTACATCTTTCCCTTCATCTTTTTTCCTTAAATACTTATTGTTTTGGATTGCCACAACAATAATACAGTGATTCATACTAAAGATGGTATGAATATTTCATGACTTCCTTTGTCTGTTACTCATTTTTATGTTTATGCTTTCATAGTAAAAAGGAACTGTGTAATGAGATTAGCATTGTGTATATTATTATTATTCTTTGCACTATTAACATTTCAATACTAGTATCTGAACATCATACAGAATGCTTCTCTAAATACCCAAGCATCCATAATTCTTGCATCAAATTTTACATTAAAGCTACTTAATATCACAATCAATGTCTATATTTTGTTTGGAAAAGAAACTACACTTCAGATGGAGTTTTGGAAGTCCTTGCAGTAAATCCAGAATAGCTGCCCCAACAAGTATCTTGGCAGAGATGTTTATAGTGAAACTCAAATACAATAAATGAAAAATTAACACCCATTGTGACTATGTATTTTGACAATAAAAAGTATATCTCCACTCAGGATAATTACTTTATTATAAGAAACCCGAATTACATTATACGTACCAAATCTAAATGATAACGTAGCTATTTTGGGGGGTAGAGTTTTTAATTGGCTTTTTTAGCTTTTAACATTGTCATGAAAACAAAACAATTTAATATTGTCATGAAAGCAAAACAATTTACTACGGCTCAGTTCACTAGCTTTTAGAAATTAAGCTTATACAGAGCTATTTCATAACGGCATTGAAAACAAACGTAGGAAAAAAGGCATTCTAATTTTTACAAGAGGAACCACAAACGTAACTAAGTAATGCCTACATTAGCAAATTAGCAAAAAAGTGAAACTAGTCTGCATAACATGCGCCAGTAGTTAAATATGAATTAAGCCTCAACCTTAAGCATAGTAGTGATGTGGTATGATCACAGAAACTGCTTTAGACTTCACTTAACTACGGCAACAACTGTTTTAACAGCTATTTACAACGGAGCTATTCATTTACTTAATGTTATTCTTTCCTATATCAGAACTGATGTAGCATGACAGACTGATGGTCCGCTCTTTGGAACAAGGGAGCAAAGGGAAAATAGTGTGGTGTTAACCTACCAGAAGCTTCTAGGACAAAGGCCTGCAGCTCTAGTCTCAGAAGAGCCATTTTGCTACCTAACATGGTAGGAGGTTAGGGTACTAGTGTGTTGCTCTACACAGTGCCTGCCGGTGACAACTCAAGTCCCCTGCGTCTCTGTAAGGCTCACAAAGTAATCTCCAAACTGATGTTTGCCTCCTGACCTTCAACAGGTTTGTCGGCGCTAAGATGTGTGCTAAGATTGGAGCTCCCTCCAATCATGTAAATATTGACTAAATACCATTTGTTCGGCTAACTATGGGTTAGACAAGTGGACAGCAAATGGATTGAGGACTGGCTGGATGGCAGAGCTCAGTGGGTGGATTCACCAAGGGGAAGTCATGTCTGATGAACCTTATAGCCTTCTATGATGAGATGACTGGCCGGCTGGACGAGGGAACAGCCGTGGATGTTGTCTACCTTGACTTCAGCAGAGCTCTCCACCATTTCCCATGACATCCTCATAGGAAAGCTCCAGGAGAGTGGTCTGGACGAGTGCACAGTGAGGAGGATCAAGAACTGGCTGGATGGCAGAGCTCAGAGGGTGGTAATAAATGTGGCCGAGTCCAGTTGGAGGCCTGTAGCCAGTGGTGTTCCTCAGGGGTCAGTACTGGGCCCGGTGCTGTTCAACCTGTTCATCAGTGACCTGGACAAGGGCACGGAGTGCACTCTGAGCAAGTCTGAGGATGATCCCAAGCTGGGTATCATCCAGGCCCTGGATCTCATGGGGGAGTTTAACTACCTCGACATCAGCTGGAGAGACAGCACAGCGAGGCACAAACAGTCCTGGAAGTTTCTACAGTGTGTCAATGACAACTTTTTGACGCAGGTTGTGGAGGAGCCGACGAGGAAAGGTGGGCTGCTGGACCTCGTACTAACAAACAGAGAGGGCCTTGTTGAAGATGTGAAGGTGGCGGGCAGCCTTGGCTGCAGTGATCACGAGCTGGTGGAGTTCAGGATCCAACGAGGAGGAGACAGGGCAGTAAGTAGCCTTGCCACGCTGGACTTCAGGAGGGCCAACTTTAGCCTCTTCAGAGRCCTGCTGGGAAAGATCCCATGGGCTAGGGCTCTAGAAGGAAGAGGGGCCCAAGACAGCTGCTTAGTTTTCAAGCGGCATTTCCTCCATGCCCAGCAACAGTGCATCCCTGTGCGTAAGAAGTCAGGCAGAGGGGGCAGGAGACCTGCGTGGATGAGCAGAGAGCTCCTGGCAAAACTCCAGCAGAAAAAAAGCAATATATAGAATGTGGAAGAAAGGACAGGCCCCTTGGGATAAATACAGGAACATTGTCAGGGAATGCAGGGATGCAACAAGGAAAGCTAAGGCACAACTGGAATTAAATCTGGCACGGGATGTTAAGAGTAACAAGAAAAACTTCTTCAAATATATCAACAACAAAAGGAAGGTCAGGGAGAACGTGGGTCCACTAGTGAATGGGGTGGGTACCCTGGTCACGAAAAACACAGACAAAGCAGAGCTGCTGAATGCTGCCTTTGCTTCTGTGTTTGTCAGGGGCAGCCCTCTAGAATCCCAGGCCCTAGGGACACACGAAGAGAGCCAGAGGGAGGAAGGCTTGCCCTGGGTAGAGGAAGAGTGGGTCAGAGAGCATCTAGGGAGCCTCAACACCCACAAATCCATGGGCCCTGATGGGATGCACCCCAGAGTGTTGCGAGAACTGGCAGATGTCCTAGCCGAGCCGCTCACCATTATCTTCGGAAGGTCCTGGAGAACGGGG